AGAGAAATACATAGCCAATTCCGATTACATCCCTACTTAAATGCAGAACTTCTAGCCATTAAGGAAGCTCTAATATATATTGTTTTTTATCCTCGGGCGTCTTGGCTGATATGCTCGGATTCATTATCTGCTCTACTATGTATAGAAAAACTTTACCCCCAACACCCTTTTAAAGCACATATAATGGATTTGCGACATAGGGCAACTAGCCTAGGCTCCAATATACCTATATTGTGGATCCCTAGCCATGTGGGCATTACCGGTAATGAAAGTGCTGATCATTACGCTAAAAATGCACGTCTAAACGGTACAGATAGGTCATCAGTTTATTCCACGGGTTGTCTGCTCAAAAATTCGCCCGATTCAACTGGCGTGGGATTTTCTGGAGGAACCCAACAAACTCTGGAATGTCAAAAAGACATTCTTCCGTGGTTTCTCCACATCACAGCCGTAGTAATTAGCAGACTCATGTTAGGACATTGTAGGTTTTCTCATCAATTTTTGCTTAAGGGCCAACCACCGCCTCTATGTGATAAATGTAGTAATCCTTTAACTGTCAAGCATATCCTTAAGGAATGTAATCAGTTAATTAACCTAAGAGAGGCCTGCAATCTTTCGTCAGACATGCCGGTTATTTTCTCTACAAGTGAGCAACCAAAACGTTTTGATTTTCTGGAAAGCTCGGGATATATATCTGAAATATAGGTATCTAAAAAACTACATTTTCGTTTAAAGCAACCAATTACTAATTCAATTGAATATATTTTTACGTTTTATTGATTTATTCTATGTTGTGTGTACCATTTACTTTTTATTTGTACAAAATCAGTGTCTGTACTCTTAACAATTTTAATTTAACAATCTGTCTATAAACGTGTTGTTTAATAAAATGTCAAATATTGTTCCGTACTAAAATAGCAGGTGATACGCCGCTAAATAGCCTTTGATGCTGATGCGGCTTGAAAGTTAAATTTCTTCTTCTTCTTCAAAGTTCTGTTTTTCTTCATTTTTAATGATGGTCTTAGGAAGAATCATTAAAGTCATACCAAAGTGTTGATTGCCTCAAATTTTTGTTTCATCTAAGCATATACAGGGTATCCCATTTTTGTGTATTTCTCGTTTATGAGTAGAGATTCAAAGATGCGCTTTTCACATCACTGTACGACGATATCTGAGATTTGAACTGTACAGGGTGTCCCATTTTGCTTGAAATCATACGGTATATCCGTTATAAATGAAGATAGAAGGGTGCGGTTTGCACAAATCTGTACCTACCTACCACTTTTTTGTGAAATGGAAGGTACCGTAAACAACATTTTTATAGCCCTCTTCGTTCCTGAGTTACAAGGCAAATTTTGCAATTTGGGGCACCCCCTGTATCTCTGTTATTGTTAAAAGTATCGAGAAGGTGAAAACTGTTTATTGTAGAAATTTTTCCGTAGAATACAGTGGCGTAGTCCGTTAATCTACGAAAAGAATATTTTTAAAGATATGAACTAAAGTTATGTTTTCTTAAATGAGACACCCTATATATTATTTATAAATTATATTATCAGGCTTGCCAGAAGTTTCTCAAAAATGTATATCACTCTATATTTATTTTCACTATTTACTGCAATTTCTAAAAGTTTTTATTAAAAGATCATATTGATTAGTAGCCAGTAGCCCACCGATTGGCAATAAAAGAAACTGAAGAATTATTAAAAGTATACTGCTGTCTCTTGTTTTATTTTGGGAGCCACTAATAAATTCTTTATATATTAGAAAATAATCTCAATGTGTAATTGCGGCATCGATAAAGATCACATCGAAGAGATGAGATCTGCCATCTTTCAACATGCTGACTGTTTTTAACAGCACAGACCACAGATTTGGCGGTTTAACCGTTATTTGGCGGACCAAAGATCTGAACTGCGCGATTTGGCATGCGGATCAAATCGGTAGATCTCTTTAAGGTAAATAATATATTAATATTTTTTCTCCTTTTATTTTTCGCCATAATTAGATTCCACGTTTATATCAATTTACTACAGAGTTTTATTGATTAAATATTGTATCTTTCTTTTGAATCTTTTAATAAATCATTCCATTACATAACTAAAGTGTATATTAATAATTTTTCACCCTACGTTATTATCCATTTTTACAACAAATTACTTTATTGATTTACAGCAAGATTTTATCTAAATACTCTAAACTACCATCGATGTGTCTCCGTCCCATTCACCAACATGATTTAATCACCCAGCTAAAATCCGCTTAATATCACAAGAACAGGTACGATTTTTAATGCAGTACTCTAGTAGGTAGGTACGTGTCGGATAAACCAAATGAATTATGAGGTTCTAGTATTCTAAGCGAATAAATACGTAAGTTGTATCCCACTTTTAAACAGCCTTACGCGACAACCTAGTAATTGTCGTAAACCCAAAACAACTATCACTTCATTCAAAATTAAGTTGTTCTTTTCTTATGTCACATGATGGAATAGTGCAGATAGTGTTACGTAATAATAAGGAATATTATGGACATTTTTTTGGTTTTAATCTAAGGAAATATCAACTAATGAATTATAAGTATTATTAGGTACATATAATTGGTAGAGGTGAGCTCATTTTTGCTGCCAAGGCTAATCTGGACGGAGTGTACTTTGTTTACGATAGAGTCCAGACGGTCACCCGTCCATCCACTCGCATCGCCTAACGTGGCTTAACTTCGGTGATCTATTGGGAACGGGTGCTTCGACATAGCTTTGCCTTTGCCCACAGGTGTTTAAAGACCTGTGTTAAAGACTGATACTTGCAGTACAGAGCATGGGAGAAGTAATAATAATAGAGATAGATGTCAGCTGTCATTAATTTTAGACACTGGCGTCATTATGTTTTAAATGGTATATAAAAAATACGAAAAAAAGACAAAAAGTAAAGTTTTTATTTTGTAGATTCGAAAAAAAATTCGAGTTTTTTCAAGAAAGACACATTTATCAGTGCAATTTCGGGCTATTGCTTCTATCTAGAGCACTAAAATCATTAACAGATCATCAGGAAAAATACAGATGTTAAATTTCGTAATCTAGTCTAATACCTAACTTGCATCCATATAAAATAGGTTTAAAATACCCGTTCATTCATTTGGAAAACTGCAAATGTTACTTGGATAACTCAACTAACCAAAAAAAAAACATTTCCTGTAGTTAATTATTTTTCTACTATGTTAAACAATGAGACACATATTTTATTATATTTTAAGTTAATAACTAACATAATAACTTGGTTTTTACATTATTTACATTAACATAATAACTTGGTTTTTATTTATTAATATTTATATTTTTTATAATTTTTAAGCTTATTAAACTATTTCTAATTATGATGTAGCCTCCCTCACATATTTAGATAGGTACTCTCTTTGTTGTCTATTGTTGGCTATGCGAGGTTTGCTCTTCTTCTAGGTCTCTTAATTCCTCGTGGGTACCATGCTGTCATTTTTTTGGTCCATCTGTTGTCCGTCCTTCTTGTCAGGTGGGCTACCCATAGCCACTTGAGGGATTTGATGTTGTGGGTGACATTTATTGCCTGGGTCTTTTGTCATGTTTACTCAATTCTTCTACGATCTTTTTTGATTATTCCCAGCATATTTATTGGTATTGATCTTGGCGCGACCTCCAGTTTCCTTATAATGTCCGTTTTTAGTGTCCGGGTTTCGTATACAAAGGTCATGACTGCTCCAATGTTATCTTCTTTAGATAAAGTAGCCATTAATTTGTGCCTGTAGTTCTTCAGGACTATTGACAATTAGGATTATGTCATTAGCGAATCTTAGATGGTTAAGATATTCTCCATCTATTTTTAATTCTTCGTTGGTCCAGTCCAGTTGACGGAAGATTTCTTCTAGTAGTATTATGTATTACTGGCGTGAACACCTTTGGGGATATCGCGTCTCCCCATCGTCTCCCTGTCGTACTCCTTTGCTAGTTGGGAACTCTGGGGTTCTTTTATATATTGTCAAGGTGTATTACTGGTTGCCTGCACAACCGCAATGTGTCAAGAAAAATGGCGTATCCGCCAGAAATTAAAAATGTATTACTGGTTGCGTGCACAACCGCAACGCCAGAAATTAAAAGACTTTTTCAGGCGCCATCTTTTAGTCAAGTCGAGAAGTAAGGGAATCAGACAATGGAATTGTCTGGTATGAAGAAGTACGCTTTCCGAGAATTGGGGAAATTTCGAGAAGCAGTCAATAGAGTATATAAGCCGGAGCCATCGACAACTGAGGGAGTTTTTGAAATTTGAATATACCGCGTGGAAATTGAAAATCGGACAATTTGGTGAAGGAATCTTATAAATAGTTAGTTTGTTGTGTGTTATAAGTTAGTAATTGTGTATAAAGTGAGAAAATAAATTCGTTAAGTATTTTATCGTGAGTTTAAATTAGTGGACCCACGGAATCCGTAACAATATGATACTATTGCTTTGGCTTCTTTGTATATATTGGCGAGAGTTTCTATATAAGACCTGTTTTATATAGAGAAACTAACTTAATTTTAACATACCTTGTTACAATCACAAAAAATATAAAAAATATCTTGTAATTATACCTCGTAGTTTATGAATTTTCCCTTGTCAAATTTCTTTATTTTCGACAGTGACTCACTGGGCGATCATCAAAATTCTAAGGTAGTTACTTCCAGAAGTTTCACAGACTTCAGATTTTGAATTTTAGGTAGCTTTAAGCTTCTAACGGAAAGAAAAAATAAAAAATCTCGAAATATCTTTATGCATTAAAAATTAAGTGTTTAGTCGTTATCGGTAACTGACTTTCCAGTCGATAAATAGTTATTAATTTCACTTTACTTTGAAGTTACACTTGCTTCAAGAATCAATCATATTGAAATAAAAATAAAAGCTGAATACTTACCTAAAAAACAAAAACAATTAATTATACTCAGTTCATTTCCATCAGTCAACCAACTGATACATCAGAAAAATAAAACACTCGTCAATTGAAAATTATGTTGTATTTCCTTATATCACATTACAAAATATACAGAAAGAGGCTTTAACTTTAACTAACCGAAAATCTACCAGTATTTTCCACCATATCCCAACGACAAAGGTGCCGAAATGATAGGTTTCGAATAAATTGGAGCGGAATAACTTAACAAAGGAGCAGAGTAACTCTTAGCGTACAGAGGAGCAGGAGCAATGTAACTCTTCGAAATTAAAGGAGCGCTGTAGCTCAAAGCTGGAGCCACGTATCCCTTGCTGATGTAAGGTGCCGGAGCCGAGTAGCTGATAGCTGGAGCGGCGTAACTGATTGCTGGAGCCTTGTAGATGGGTGCTGAGTAGCTGATGGCGGGCGCCTTGTAGATGGCAGGAGCTGCGTAGCTGATTGCGGGAGCGGCGTAGCTCTTGATTATTGGAGCGGGTGCGGCGTAGTGGAGGGGTTCGTGGTAGAGAGGTGAGGAATAACCGTAGCCGTATCCCAGACCGAGCAGGCCACGTTTTGATTGTTTTTTCTCGTCTTGGGGCTCTTCTGGGGCCTTTTCGGCTGTGGAAAGGGCGAGAACGGCAACAAGAACAATCTACATTGGAAAGGTAAAAATGTGTTGTTTAGATTTTGTTTTATAATATTTTGATTGAATATTTTGATATAAAAAATAAAATCATACCAAGAAATTCAGTTGAGGTTAATAATTATTTATTATACCGGGTGGTGTATTGTCGTTGGAAACATAGGAAGTCCCATGCAACTTTTAAACTGTCCAAATATTGGCCCCTCTGTTAATTTTACAGCGAAGTAGTAAATAGGTTTTTTAAAGATCTGCGTATGCTGAATATACAGGGTGGCACCTCTCACACGCCGCAGAGGCTCCAAGGAGAACGACAGTTTGTATTGAAATGAAATTCTGTTAGCGAATGTAGGTTAATCCAGAGCATTTTTTAAAAATATAGAGAGTTGTACAGGGTGTCTTCAAAAAAAGTTAGATGTCAAAGTTGTTCTTTTTTGTAATGGAACACCCTATATATTAATTGATTTTCGAATTCTAGGAAAATTTTTTCTTTTTCTATTTTTTTTGTTTTATTAAAAAAATTAGAGAGATATTTAGTAAAAATAAACGTTGTATGTTAAACACAATTAAAACAAAAAGCTATACAGGGTGAGACAAAATTAATATTGAACATTGGTTACTTTTAAAAGCAAGTTAGGTACTTCTTTATTTTAAATGGAACACCCAGTATATTATTCCGGTGTTCAATGGAAAATTCAGATATCTTCAAAATATTATTAAGGTTGCCTACCCCTCAAACAAACATTTTCCTAGATATTTTTATTTACATGATTTGATTTGAGTAGGTCTTTATTATTTGATAAAATCTAGGTGGCTGTGATATGTCTGACGTTACTTCAACATAGCTGTCTAATTAGTCCAACCTTAACAACTAGGTATCATTTTGTGTCAGTTAAAACAAAAAAAAATTCAGAAATTTGCCCAAAATGCAAACTTATCCTACATCAGACAGAAGTGATATGATTCTATTAGTTGGGAAGCATACTGCATTCACCAATTCTGTCTGTTTTTTTATGGGGATATGTTACAGTGTTTACAAAACTGGACCAACTATTATTGACAACATGAGAAAAAATATTGTAGCTGCTTCTCGAGGTAGAACTCATACAACTACATATACCTTTTAAGATGAAAAAATCCTTTTGAAAAGACAATCATTTTATGCAGTTAACAGGAAAAGAAGCATTTTGAGCATCTGATTTCATCTAGCTAATTTTTGTCACAGAATTATAGGTTTATGTCTAGTTTTAATTATGTAATAATTAAAATATGTTTTAAACGTGTATCTTTTTATTACCGTTGAGTGTTTTACTCTACAATCTATAATTTTTGTTAAATTAACAAAGGGTATATCACAGCCACGCCCTAGATTTTTTCAAATAATAAAGATCTACTGACGCAAAATCTTAAAAATTAAAATATCTAGGAAAATCTTTGTCTGAGGGGTAGGCAACCTTTATAATATTTTGAGGATATATAAATTCCCCATTAAACACCGGAATAATATACTGCGTGTTCCATTTAAAATAAAGGAGTAACTTGATTTTAAAAGTGACCAATGTTCCATATTAATTTCGTCTCACCCTGTATAACTTTTCGGGTCAAATTTCAATTTGGTTTAACATACAATGGTTACTGTATATCAATTTATAATCAGGATATACAAGGTCAACTAAAATTTAGGTAGCTGTTCTCGAAATTTAAAATTTACTCTTCATTTTCACAAAATGTGAAATATGTCAAAATCCTTAGATCTTAGAGATATTCTTCTTTAATAAATCCGAAAATCAATTAATATATAGGGTGTTCCATTAGAAAAAACACAACTTTAATGTGTAACTTTTTTTGGGGACACCCTGGATAACTGTAAATATTTTTATAAAATGCTTTCAGTTAACCAACATATGCTCTTAAAATTTTATTTCGATATAAACTACCGTTCTCCTTGGAGAGGCGCCACCCTGTACATACATGCCAAATTTGGACAAGCCTTTTGGAACTAATTTAATAAAAACTACAACTATTCTTAAATTGATTTAATAAAGCTTTATTCAGAACCTCGCAATTGGTGAAATAAATTAGTGGTTTCAGTTATACTTTATACTTTTTAGTTTACGATCATTCACATTGTCTAAAAAATACAATTAATAGAATATTCTAGCAACAGCTTGCGGTAGTCAGTTGTATCTATAGTGAGAGCCTAATATTTAGCTTATAAAACAATCAACTTTTGATTTTTAACCCGAATTTCTCTTGACTGATGATAATCAAAGATTAAAATGACATAATGACATTCCTCGAAAATTTTGAAGTATAATTAGTGGAAAAGTCAACAGTTTGTTAACTTTTTCTATTAATTGAAAAAAAACTACCGTTAATTTTAATGTTCTGAATATTTACATTGAAATTAAAGGAACCAACTGCTACCCTAAGTGAAACTACTAATTTACTCCACTAATTGCGACGTATTATGTTGGTTAGTATGGTAGGAGAATGTAGTCAAAGAATGGGACTTGCCATTAACACAAAAAAAATTCATGGTTGTCACGAGAGAGGTGGATGAGTAGACACGCCAGCTTAACTTACGAAGGGAAATTCATAGAACGAGTGGCAAAATTCAAGTACCTGCGAGCTTGGCTTCACGAGAACTGGTCATCTGACAGGGACATTAAGTGCAGAATCGAGCAAGCCCGGGGCGTATTCCTTAAATTTAAAAAAGTCTTCACCTGTAGCGATTTCGACCTTGAGCTTCGATTGAGATTTGTGGACTGCTATAACTTAACAAGTATAGCTAGAGACGTGAGAAATATAAAATAAGAGACGCCCCTCGATGCGCAGTGGACAGCCCACAAGTTTACTTTAATCAGATTTTTCGTATCGCGATCGGTGCTATCCCCAAGTCTCTTCCTATTAGAGATGGGCGGTTATTGGTAAAAAACCGGTTATAGGTTAACCGGAATTATCTTTAAAAAATAATAACTTGACAAAATTAACCGACACAAAATAACCGGTTATTCAAATAACCTAACCTAGCAAAACTAAATATTTAGTAATAAAATCTAATTGTGTCCTCTACACTCCATACGTCTACTTCAAATTTAGATAATAAACTTAGTTAAATCGCATGATTAAATAGAGATTGTAGCAATGTAAGTATGTATATGTACAAAATGAATTTAAATAAAAATGCTAACCTCACTTTTTTGAGTAGACATGGATATGATATTAAAACTAGTAATTACTTAACGTTCAAATAAACCACACAACTCACAAGTTCTACAATCTACAACCAAGTTATTTTAATCAAATACGGAGAAAAATAGACCACACGAAAAATAGACCAAAAGAAAAATAAGGAGACTGAATGAATAAATAATGAGAGATTATCTTCATTCATTACTTGAACTTCTATATTGAACTTCAATTTTGTATTCTTAATCTAAGCTTCAAGAGAGACTTCAAACTACAAATGAAATATATTTACGGTGAAACGTGGGTGAAACTGGGTGAAACTGGGTGAAACCATGGAAAACTTTTGAAGAACCGTTGAAAATCCGTTAAAGTCGGTTAAAATTTAAATATAGAATTTAGAGAATCTATTTGAAGTCAGGTTTGTATCACTTGGCTAGCTGGTGGCTAGTAGTAGTCTATGGCATTAGTACTTTGCTTTATGGCCCTGACCTGTCAGGGCCATTCGGCCGTTGTTTTGATTATTATCATCAGGGTTCGCCTGATGCCTGATTTAATTTTGACATTTGATGTCATATATTTTCGTTTTGGGAGCGGGAGCGGGATCTCCCGTTATGGTCGTAATATCGGGAAGATCCGTGCCGTTCGCTTCTTCGAAATTTACGATTCAAACAGCTAATATTTAATTGTTAGTTGTTTTAAACAAGTACGATTTTTTAAAAAATAACCGGCTATAGGTTATTGAACGTAATGCAAGGTTATTAGGTTAATTGGTGAAAAAAAAACTACCTTTAAATAACCGGTTATTTTAGAGGAAAATACCGGTTATTCAAAAAACCGGTTACTTTTGCCCATCTCTACTTCCTATATTTGTCAAACTGTACGTCTGGTCGGTGCTCCTCTACGGCGTGGAGAGTTGGACACTAAAAGCAAGGGCCATAAACAGACTGGAAGCTTTCGAAATGTGGATATACCGCACAATCCTCAAGATACCATGGACGGCCAAGATAAGAAACGAGGATGTACTAAGACGTATTAATAGAGAACGCGAACTCTTCAACACTGTAAAAAAAAAAGAAAGACTGCAATGCATACCTGGGTCACGTCATGCGTAACCATAAATACCAATTTCTCCAGTTGATTGTCGAGGGCAGAAGAGGTTTGGGATGGAAAAAAATAGTCATGGCCGGAACAGCGATTTTTTAATAACAGGTACAAGTTGTTCCAGTTGCAAAAGATACCTGTTCCAAGAAACCTGTCCCAGTTCCAAACTGTTCCAAAACGAAAATTAATACCGTACTTGCGCCATTCTGATTCGGTTGCTATTTTTCTTCTTAAATTTATATAAAAGAATATTTTTTGGTTAAATAATGAGAACTACTGGGGATTTTTCTGTTTTCTCTAAATTTAATCTACTGTCTATGTTGCTATATTACCAAGATATAATGTTTTTTAACTAAACATTAAAAAAAATACTATCAAATTTTCGAAAAATATAAACCTTTCAAAAACATGTTCTCCCGAAAAAAACTCATGTGAATCGAAATATATACAACCCCTAAAAATATGTGCACTTATTTAAGACCCACCCTGTATAAGCACTAATGAATATAGATTTATAATTTTGTGATATAGGTACTTAAAAAGTAAATTCGTGGAAGAGTTTATTTTTTTTAATATCTGCTATATTTATAATACAAAACAATAACCGACTGTTCTTACACTGTATTTTTCAAAAAAAAAACTATAATGCGATAATTATATTGCATTTGGCAACATCGCCAGCATTTTTTTATACTAAAAAATGTTCCTTACCTATTCTG